AGAGTAGATAATGTTGTTAGAAAAGGGTAGATGTGGTTGAATTGTTGACAAGTTGCACAATTGGCTATTGCTGGAGGTCTAAGATGCAACCTATCTCCCCACCCTCTGAATGATTTATCACATACCCTTTTGGGGTAAGTCTAGTCCCGTTGGGCTCAGGTTGTGTGATCCCGAGGGGCATCTAGGCTTTTTTGCCAATTGGCCTACAGGGAAACCCTCCTGAACCTCTGGAGAAATAAAATACTTTAGCCCATCACTTTAGCACTTCCCTGCACCAGCTACAGGAGGGTCTGCAACTAAGAGAACCCAGGAAACTCAGAACTAATTCCTATTGTCATAAACTATAACTATGACACTATCTCTGAGTATGCCAAGAGCATATACAGGTGACAAAACCCTCCCCTTGTTCTTTTCTTTCCTGGTCAAGTGATTGTAATTACTTTAGCCTCGCTCAACACTGAGGCTAGCTTCCAGACTCAGGAAGCCATTTATTTCCTCTTGGCCTCTGGAGAGGAGTAAACCAAGTTAATTAAAAATAAGCACAGTGATTGCATCAGACTGAGTCTATGTCCTCCATAGAACTCTGCAGGGGCAGGAGAAAAAATGGAAGGAAGGGAGAGCTGTCAGTTTGCGAAAGCAGATTGGGCAAACATGCAGGTATTGTGGTCACAGGGGACACCAAGAGAGACCCTACTTCTCAGTTCCTATCCTGACCTTCTTTTTTTCACTGACCTCAAATTGACACCATCCTAGAAACTCCCATAGCTCAGAATTCTTATTTATGTTATTGCCAAATAAATTGGCAATTACTTGTTAAATATTTACTTGTTGTCACTCTAAACCTGCAGAGCTTCCCAGCTGACTGATAGTGGCTGAGTCCAGAAGCAGTCTAATGTGGCTCGCAACTAAGGGCCAGATAGTCACAAAGTCAAGCACAGATCAAGAACTTGCAGAACTTAGACCAGAGGGTATCAAACTTTGCCCTGGATCAGATCACTTTGGGAGCACTGAAAGCTTACAGATCCACAAGAATGACACAACATTCAATACTCATAAGAATGCAGCAGAAGGACCCTGGAGGACACAAGCTCATCCTAGACCTTCCCTCCAAAGCTTAAAGAGCCTGACCCTAACATAAAGTCCAAAGTCAGGAAGTAGTCTGGAAAAATAAACAAAAATGTAAAAAAAAAAAATCCCACCATAAAGAGCTATTATAATGACAGCAACATTCAAAAACAAACCCAGATGAGAAAGATTTCAAAACAGCTACAGGCAAAGAGAGATATATCTGGGACACACATTCAATTAGAATTCTTGGAAAAGATGAAGCAAGGGCTAAGAAAAAAGAGGTACAATGTTGTTTTTGTAATTGAAAAGAAAATGATAAAGAAAAAATGGAGAATAAATGAGAGCTATGGAAGAAAGAATTGGAAAAGGAAATAACATCTTGGAATCAAAGGTATAAAACCTCATCCAAGCAGCAAATGCCTTGACAACTAGAATAGACCAAAAAGAAGCCAATGATTCCTTGAGACAATAAGAAATTTTAAAATGAAGTCCAAAAACTAAAAAAATATATAGAAGAAAATTTAAAGTCTCTCATAGCAAAAACAACCAGCCAAGAAAAGAGATTAAGGAGAGATAATTTAAAAGTTATTGGACTACCCGAAAATCTTGACCAAAAAAGCAGAGTAGATATCATATTTCAATTTTAAAATGCCCAAGTCTCTTAGAATCAGAGAGCAAAGTACAAGTAGAAAGAATCCACCTCCTAAAAGAAACCCCTAATGAAAATTTCAAGAATATTCTAGGCAAAATCCAATGCTTCTAGGTCAAAGAAATAATACTGCATGCAATCAGAAAGAATTTAACTACCAAGGAGCCACAGTCAGAATCACATAAGATTTATCAACCACCACTCTAAATGATCAGATACTTTGGAATATGATATTCCAGAAGGCAAAAGATATAGGCTTACAATCAAGAATAACTTATCCAGCAAAACTAAGTATAATCCTGCAAAGGAAAAGGTTTATTAACATACCTGATGAAAACATCAGAACTGCATAGATACTTTGAAGAACAAACAGGAGTCAGGAGAAATATTTTTAATTAATCCTACGTTAACAATCACGAGGGACTAAACAAGAATAAATTGTTTACATTCTAACATGGAGAGATAATACATCCTCTCAAAACCCTATCACAATCAGGGATCATAGAGGAAGTCTAATTAGACAGAGAGCCTGGGAATAGTTCTGACATGTTTTGATGAGCTTAAAAGAATAGAAAGGGAAGGGAAGAAGAATACTCTAGAGGGGGGAATGGAGTAGAGGATTGGAAAAATTATTTCATATAATCAGGGTGTACAAGGATAAGTCCAAAAAAACAAGGAGAAAAGGAAAGGGGGAGTAAGGAACACATGAACTTTCCTCTGATCTGAAACTGGTCAGAAGAGGGAAAAATATACAAACAAATATGCACACACACACACACACACACACACACATACATATGTACATGCACAAACACACACACAGTTGGGAACAGAAATACATTTCACTCAGCAGGGAAACAGAAAAGAAAGCAGAGAAGAAGAAATTAGAAAGAGTAAATTAAGGGAAAGAATTACTTCTAGACAAACAAAAAAAAAACTTAAGAACATATAAAATACGTATAGTAGCTCTTTATTTGGTAGCAAAAAAATAAAAAATTGGGACCTGAAGGGGTGCCCATCAATTGGGAAGTGACTGAACAAATTTTGGTATTTAAATGTGATAGAGTGCTATTGTGTTGTAAGAAATGATGAAGGGGGGGGGGTTTCAGAGAAATCCAAAAAGATTTTATAAACTGATACAGTGTGAGAGGAGAACTAGGGAAACAAATAATACAATAATGATATTATAAAGATGAAACAATTGTGAAAGACTTAGAAACTCAATGATCAACTTCACTTCTGGAGGGCTCATGATGAAACATGCTGTCCAGCTCCAGATGATAGCAGACAGAGAGGTAGGTGATGGACTTAGAGTACATACTGAAGCAAGGTTTTGTTTTGTCTTGTTTGCAAGTGGTCGTTGTAGTGATTTGTTTTGCTTAACTACATTTATTTGTAATAGGGATTTTGTTTTTCTTTTTCAGTTGGGGGGAGAGAGAAAAAATGGATTTGGTTTTTGAAAAAAAATTAATTTTAAAAAATGAAGGTGTTGAATCAGATGACCTCTGAACTCTTTTCCCACTCTAAATTTATGATTCTGTGGTCCTACACAGGTTCTTCTATAAGTTCTGCTCCAGAGTGGTCTCTACTAAGCACAGAGGATCTGGGTTTAAATCACATTTTGGCCATTTATTCTCTAAGTGACCTTGGGTAATTCATTTAGTCTCTCTAGGCTTCAGTTTCCTCATTTGTAATATGAGGGAATTGGACTATATCGTCTCTGACGTTCCTTCCAGTTCTAAGTCTAATATTATTACCTTTCTCCACATGTAGTCTTCTTCCCCACTGTTCCTCTGTCCAGAATCTTTTCAATAGTCAATAAACATTTAAGTTCCTAGTATATACCAGGCACTGTGCTAAATGTTGGGGATACAAAAAGGGGCAAAAGGCAGTCCCATCTCTCAAGGAGATCACAGTGGGGGAGGTAACATGCAAACAAACATGTACAAACAAACCATCTACAGAGTAAATAAGGAATAATTAAGAAAGGAAAGGGACTAGAATTAAGAGTAGTTGGGAAAGGCTTTCTGTAAAAGATGGGATTTTACTTTGTGTTTAAAGGAAGCCAGGGAAGCCAACAGATGAAGATAAGAAGGGAGAACATTCCAGGAGTAGGGGGCAACCAGAAAAAATACCCAGAGCTGTAAGATAGAGTGTCTTGTTCATGGAGCTAGAATGAGGTCAGTGTCACTAAAGTAAAGAGTATACATCAGGGAATAAGGTATAAAAAAACCAGAAAGGTAGGGGGGCGACTGGGTTATGAAAGGCTTTGAGTACCAGAGGATTTTATATTTGATCTTAGAAGGAATACAGAGCAACTGGAATTAATTTCAAGGGAGATGATACGATCAAACCTGTGCTTTAGGAAAATTGCTTTAGTGGCCTAATAGAGGATGGATTGGAGTGGGCAGTTAGTTGAGGTAGGCAGAACCACCAGCAGCCTATGGCAATAGTCCAGGTGTGAGGTGATGAGGGCCTGCACCAGAGTGCTGGCAGTGTCAGAGAAGAAAAGGGGGCATAAATGAAAGATATTGCAAAGGTGAAACTGAAAGGTCTTGGCAATAGCTTAGACATGGTGGGGAGGGGAGGGGCAAGAGATAGCGAGGAATCCAGGATGACTCTTGGGTTGTGAGTCTGAGGGAGTGAGAGGATGGTGTTGCGCTCTACAGTAATAGGGAAGGTAGGAGGAGGCAAGGGTTTAAAGAGAAAGATAGAGTTCAGTTTGGGACATGTTGATTTTAAGATAACTACTGGATATCCAGTTGGAGATGTCTACAAGGCAGTTGAAGATGCAAGATTAGAGGCCAACATAGAAGTTGAGGGAGGAAAGATATATTTGAGAATCATCATCATAGAGACAGTAATTAAATCTATAGAAATTGATAAAAACACCAAATAAAGTGGTATAGAGGGAGAAGAGAAAAGGTCCCAAGACAGAACCCTGTGTGTGCTTAGCAAAATGCTTGGCACATAGAAGGCACTTAATAAATGCTTGTTGACTTAACTTGACTGTTCACTTAGTAGCACATAACATGATCAAGGAGGGATTCCTGAGTTCAGTCAGTATACAGCAGACTAAAATTGTAAAACCCCTGTTTAAATGGCCCATAGTCAACTAGAATTTTTTAATAATTCCACCCAAATCACCATCCAATTCAATACACAGAGTCCTCAGGAGTAATTGCTGAACAGGTTTATTTACTATAAAAAGAGAAGCCTCTTAGAAAGAAAGCATAAGATCCTCAGGACAGAAATATGGTAGACATCACTTCCTTGAATAAAAAGAAGAAAGTGAAAGAATCAAATGGTATCCTTGATTTTCAGTATATTAGTGATTTCAGAATGGAAACTGCCATATCTTCTGCCATTCTGAGAGGTGATCTTGGAGGGGGATAGCTTCATCTGCTTTCCCTGTAAATAATTAAAGGTGATAAAGTTACAAATTACTTAGGTGGGCAAAAGGGAATGTGCTAAGAGATGTCAACTTTTTACCTGGGACACAACTAGTCATATAACACACTTGGCAGGGTTTAGTTATTTCCTCCCACCAGTTAAAAGAATTAGACCATTGCAATTGAAGCCAAGAAACTTATTCCACATATTTTGCATGAAATAGGGGAAAATTGCTGCTCACACATTTGGCCAGAGGAAAGAAAACTGATTCCCTTCTTCCCCCCTTCTCTGCCCACTTCATGTCCTCTCTTTCTGAACATAGCAAACACAAAAGTATTGGTCCCTATCCTTCAGAGTGTTATATTGCATAGCTGAGAGCAGAGTACAATTGGAAACAAAATCATGCAACAGTCTAAAGGGTAGAGTGTTTCAGTGGGAAAACACCCCTGAGTAGAAAGTCAGAGGACTTGAGCTCTAGTCCTGATTCTCACACTATATAATGTTGGGAATGTCCATTCCTTTCTTTGGGCCTCAGTTTTCCCCATCTGTAAAAGAAGAGGTTGTGTTAGGTGATTCCTAGGGTCTCTTCTATAACTTAGAAGATGTGATTGTCTTCGACCTCGCTTTCACAAGGCATTCCCTGTCCCAGCAGAAGACTTGAGTTTGCTGACTTTCCATGGCAAGGAAGTGACCATGTCAAGATTGATTAAAATATTGCTATGTGAAGACCATGCCCAAAAGAGGCAAAACTAGTCTGTGGATTTTAGGACTGACAGGGCAAGTCCTCTAAATCTATTCAGGCCTAACTCCTCCAGACAGGCCATGAAGACATGGAAAATCTTGTTACAAACATGGACCCTTTACCTTCCAAGGAACAGGGGAAAGTCTTTACCACACAGTTATAGGGATCTACACATGCTGAAATCTCATAAATGTAGAAGGCTATAGAAAAGAATAAGACAAAGCATTTTCCCAAAGGAAAGAAGTGGAACACTAACTTACCTAAACACGGCACATATCTGTGGAAGGAAAAAGAAATGCTTGAGTGACATCATTTGGTGAAAAAAGAAATTGCCTTTGGGAGTAAAATCACTACAACTGAAACCAGATAGCAAAATTTACTCTTTCAAAATTCTCTCATCTTTGAATAACCCAGAGACAGCTTCCTCTGATAGCCCCAGACACACTCCCCACCCATGAGCAGAAGAAAAAATTTTGATAAGTATCACTGAAGCTTTTCCTGATTAAGATAAAACAGCAAAATGATTGATCGTTGCTGTTGGTAGGTATAGTAATGAAAGAACTGTATTCTAATAGGGATAGAGATCACTGACCTTGCCTTTCTGGGTTACGTTTTATACTGGCTCATATTCATTCACAGATAAGTCAGAGAGGATCTTGAGGGTATATAAGATGACTAATCAAAAGTAAAGTAGTTCTCTATAACAGAAAGCTTTGATCTTTTTGCTTATTAGAGACTAGTAAGAACCATTTCAATTCATTCTGCCTTCAGGTATCTATTTTCTGAACATTGAGCTAAGATCTAAGAAACCTACCTCTGGTACGGACTTCAATCACTGTATAGGGCATAGTCAAAGTCCTGAGAATTTTCTTGAATTCTTCCATGCCTTTGCTGTCCTTCTCTATTCTTCTGACTGTAGAGTTAAAAAATATAAGTCATTTTATTGATTTTTCTAAGACCTTGATGAGCATGCAGAGAAAATATGTTCCCATATGAAGAACTTGTTAGGTCACACATACCAGCCTACACACCAGAATCTCTATGATCCACATTCAGGTTATCAAGAAACTGGTCTATTATTGTTATTATTAATAGTGTAGTGGTAATCACAATAGTAGTAGTAATAGTACTCATTTGCCTAGCATGTTGACATTTTTAAAGAAATTTCACATATATAGCCTCATTTAGGCAAATCAGTGGAGGGAAAATCAGTCAAATTATTTGACTGAGTCATTTGGTTTATTCAATCATACTGGTTAATAAAGTAACATGAAAGTGCAGACTTCACACAAGCACACATGTGCATGCTTTTTTATACTGTGTGTTTAAAATTATATCTGTTCCCCACTTTGCCACCCTTGATACACATTGGTCATTATTTGACCCTATTGGTCATTATTTAAACTGTAATCCAGGTGGGATAAAGTTATGTAAAAGGCTTTGTAGCCCTTAAAGTTCTCTGTAAGTGTCAGTCATTTCTATTAATACTAATTCAGAATTAGACTTGGCACAGAAATTCGTTATATCCTTGACCCAATTACTATAACATGTTATTAATTATCTACTTCACAAACTACTTCAAGAACCTGTGGTTTTGTACTTCTCCACCAAAGCAAATTATAATCCGTTAACTAGGGAATATTTTTGGAGAGTTACTGAGACTGAAAAAATCATCACCCTCCAGCCAGCATGATGATGCACCTCTCTGAACTTAGCTAGCCAGGATAACATAGTCTATCATTGGACCTTTCTATACTCATAACCTTTCCAATTTTGGTAAGGCTTGCCAGAGTTCATGTTCCAAGCAGAGTCACAAGCCATGGTTACTTCACATCATGATGAGAAATCAAAAATAAGATTCTCTCACTTATGTGAACTGATACTGAGTGAAGTGAGCAGAACCAGGAAAACACTGTACACAGTAACAGGAACATTGTGCAATGATCAACTTTAATAGTCTTAGCTCTTCTCAGCATTACTAAGATCCAAGACAACTCCAAAAGACTCATGATGGAAAGAACTATGGAGTCTGAATGCAGATCGAAGCATACTATTTTCTCTTTTTTTGTTGTTTGTTTGTTTGTTTGTTTTTTGTTTCTCCTTCCTCATGTTTTCCCTTTGGTTCTAATTCTTTACAACATGACTAATGTGGAAATATGTTTAATATGATTGTACAAGTATAGGTTATATCAGATTGCACACCATCTTGAGGAGGGGGAGCGGAGGAAGAAGGAGAAAATTTAGAACTCACAATCTTAGAGAAGTGAATGTTGAAAACTAAAAACAAATAAATAAAAAATTTAAAAAATAAAATATGTTGAAACCATTCTTGAGACTTGATTATCTAGAGGACTAAAGGCTCAGGTTATTGACATCAGTTCTGGATCACAAGAGAACAAAACAGTCAAGAATAATTCCACACATACTATGATGTTTGGCTAGTGAGTCACAATAGGCCACTCAGGCCACTTACTTCTTGTTGTTCAGTCATTTAAGTCATGTCTGACTCTTTGTGATCCCATTTGCAGTTTTCTTATCAAAGACACTGGACTGGTTTGCCATTACCTTCTCCAGCTAATTTTACAGATGAAGAAACTGAGGCAAACCAGTTTAAATGACTTGCCCAGGTTAGTAAAAGCCTGAGGCCAGATTTGAACTCAGGAAGATGAGTCTGCCTGACTCCAGGTCTGGCACTTTGTCCACTGCAACACCTAGCTGGCCTGCATAAACATATACATACATATGTATGCATATATATTATTTATTGTACATATTAAATATGTATATGTACTTAGACACTTTAGGGGGAGAAAGAAAGAGAAATATGTAGGTTCAATTTATATTAGTTGTGTTGACTAGATGATTATTAATCTTCTGATTCCCACAGGACCCTAATCTGGTCCCCAGAACTTCAGACAGTTCTACAATTGCTGCTAGTGCCTTACCTCTGAGAGCACCTTTTATCTATTCTGTATTTACATAATGGTTTGCATGTTGTCTTTCCCATTTGAATGTGAACTCTTTGAAGGAAAGAACTGTTTTTGCCTTTCTTTGTATCCCCAGTCCTTAGCACAGTGCCTGGCACATAGTATATGCTTAATAAATGCTCAGACTGGCTGTTCACTGATTAGTTTCTTGATAATGTGTGTTATTAATGATGATCTGTTGTCATATCTCATGCAAACTTCTAATGAATAAGATACATACCATAGTGAGCACATTCCATTCTCTTCTGGGAATTGATGTTCTCCAAGCAAAAGAGGATGTAGTTGTCATAATCAGTTTCCATCACAGAGAATGTGTATGAGGCAGACTCTGAAGGAACTAGGACAGAAGCCATAAGGAAAAGTCTAAATTCTCTTCCCAAATTGGAAGCAATCTGAAATATCTGGGATGCTAATCAATCTAACTTTCCCCCATCAAGTCCACGAGGGTAAAGAATACCTCACTGAGGGTTACAAAGGAAAACTTTTTGGTTCTTACACTCTGTATTCCCTCTCTCCTGCCCTCTCCTTAGCTTGCAGTTCCCATATTTGCTGTTAATTCAACAATGCCTCCTAACTTGCTTAAGGCATACCTAACCCAGAAATTAGAACCCAGAAGCAAATGCTACATGACTGAGTCTATCCCTCAGTACTCCACATCTCAGCCTTCTAGGTCAGTGTTCCCAAGCTTTGAAATCATTACCTTCAATAGATCCTTATTTCATAATATTTTGATCTGGAAGGAACCTTTAGTGGTTGTCCAGTCCAGTCTTATCATTTCATAGATAATGAAACTAGGGCTTACACAAGGGAAATGACTCTCCTAAGGTACAGGAATTAAGTAACAGGTCAGGAAAACAAACAGAATTCCTCAGAGTCTGAATCTCCTGAAAAATTCTTTCTACTACATATACTACTATGATTATACATATACTACTATACTTAGAATAACATCACAGATAAATAAGTAAATATCACTGCTCTATCAAGAAAGAACCTCAATGTTTTATTTCCCAGCTATGTTCTGAGAAAAACCTGTTCACATTTTAGATTTGGAATCAAGTTCTACATTTGAAATCAAAGTCCAATAATTAATACAAGGACCCCTCCCCCATATTTTCCACAGATCATCTTTTACCTTTCTATTTATAAAAGCAAGCTCCCCTTCATTCTCTACCTCATCCCCAACCCCAACATACACCAAGACAATGAGACCTTTATGTGGCCAGTCATACCATCTGCTCACCTTCCTAACTTTATTGGTTACTACTTCAAGAAATTTTTTTCTTATACTTTAAAAAGAGTTTAATATGTCAATTTAAATTGACATAGCACTACCATTTCTCTTTACCTTATTAAAATTACCTTATTATCGGTATAGATTTAAATCTTGGCCTCTCAGAAAAAAAGAGTAAGAAAGAGCCTTCTTCATCTTTTGTTGAGTATAGGGGAGTATGCTTCCTTTCTGGACCACACGTAAATAGGGGCAGTATAAGCAGAATCTGGAACCATGACTTGGTGATACCTACTGTAGATCTCAAACTCAGCGGGTTTCTCAGTTTTCTTTAGAAGAAACTTCTTCTCAACACACCTGTCAGTCCTGAAAAGCCAATCAGTTTTGTCAGTCTTTTCTCAAACCTCACTTTTTATGAACCAAATACTGGACTCAAGAGGGAAAATAACAAGGGTAGTTTGGAGAGCTCATACCACACTCAAACCAATTAGGAAACAAGGAAAATCTGAGAGGGTCTCCAGTTCTTTTCATCACCCAGAAGCAAATGGCCAGTTAATTTCTTGATCAAATCAATTCCATTCAGCACACATTTATTAAGGTTTTATTATTCACAAAGCACTGTACCTAGTGCTTTGACTGAATTCAACTTTTCTTGATAAATAAAATGATAGTCCATTAAGTCAGAAAACTGTGTATGTATAAATAGCAGCTTAATGAAAAAAACAAATCATTTGAAGCAGTAATTTGACACCCTGAAAAGCAAACCATCAAGTGATTTACTGGATGTGGGAGACTCTATAGCTTTAGGGGATGCAGTTTCAGGACATAAAGTTCCTCACTTCCTTCCTAGGCACAGTCTTCCAGCTTTGAAAGTAAATTTCCAAATCTGAAGGTGCCAAGACCACGCCCGCAGTTTCAGGACCATTTCCTTTGTTTGTTTGTTTGTTTGTTTTTGCTGCCTGGAGAAGTCAAGCTCCAATTCCTGAATCCTACCAGTTTTAGCCAAATGGCTCCTTGCACTGATTTCTTTTTAGTCCACATAAAGTTCTAGAAGTTAAATTGCCGTCCTTATTGAGACAGTAATGAAACACCAACTCCACCATTTACATTCTGGTGCTTTTCATCATTTAGACAAGGATCAGCGGTTGTGTCAAAGACTCAGGAAGGGGCTACTAAAACCCTATTTAGGGAACAAGCCTTGATCAACTTAGGACCAAATTTTACTTTAGTAGTCTGTTCCATGGTCTCCGCCCTTCACAGCCTTTGCTGCTAAAAGCAAGGCATAGTTTCCAACACCACCCCAAAACATACTTGTTCAGCCCCTCTTCTTCAAAATTTCCCTCAAAGCTATAATTCTCTGTTCCCTGATTACTTTCTTTGGTCATCATAGGAGGCTGTGATACTTACTTCTTTAACACAACCAATTCCAAATTGCGTTCAGGAGTCAGGTTCACTTCCTTAATGTCCATGTCCAACAAGGGGATTGAGAATTCCATGGCCCTTACTTCTTGTCTGAGATACCACGGCCCTACAAGCTACAGAGAATATACTTGTGAAACTCTGTGTCAGGGTTCCTAGGCATAGCTGACCTCTTTCCTACTCCCCCCTGCCATATCCTTCACCAGCCCTGAAGACTTTTAACTCCAACGTTCATGTCATTGGCCTGAGTCTAAAAGAATTAATGCTAGAAAGAGGGAGGCTCCAATTAACTCTGATCCAAGTCAGGTATATACCAGGGAAGTTCTATCCCCTTTGATTTATAGAATCAACCCATCTAAGAACATCCCAGTTGTTTTAACTCTGTTGAGCAATCTCTTCTATAATATCCAATAATTTATGCAACAGGAAAAGGATATGTGCTAATCATGTAAGAAAGTGAGGGATAAGAAAAATGTTGCACAAGGACCCACAAATCATAAAAAGGCCCAGAGGGAGGCCCCCAGCATACACTGGAGAAATCTCCCATGGAAATCCTATGAGAGAATACGGAACAAGAATAATGTAAGATGAGAAAGCAGAGATGGGCTGTGATGATGGAAGGAATTCCTACATCAATCACAGATCTACTAAGTATTGGAGAATTGTAAATATCTTAAAGTTTATGTGGTACCAAACTTGCTGGAACATTGCTATTGTCATGGAATAATTTTGGGGAGAAATATGCAAATATTCATATGTCTTACACAATAAAACAAAGGAGAAGAAGTAAAAGAAAAGGTGAGCTTCCAAGTGTGGAAAACAATGAGGTTGTTGAAAAGAGAACTCTGTGGCCCCTTCTAAGCTGCCATCAGAGAAGCTTTTCAACCCCAGTTGCATCACAACTGTGGCACAGACAAGAATGAACTTCTCTGAATGGCACAGGCAAGAAGGAAAACTGCTCTTCCGAAAAAATAGTCCCATTCATACAAAACTGTTTCAATGGCTTTAGAAAGCAAATGACTTGACTTGGGAGAAGTCACATATTCAAGAATCCCTGGGCCTAGTCTAAAGGCTTACTGTTATAGAAAGGGGCAAAGAAGAGTAGCCTATGGGGAAGAATGACAGAAAAAAAAGAGAGTTAAAAAGTGGGAATAATAAAAGGGAAAAAAGTTCCCGGTGGTATGAGCCCCTGTTGTAGGGACATAATTGTAATTCTCCCAAGGACAACTGCCATTTCTGTGGTGTGTACTTTTTCCCCCGGTAATCAGTGCTACCTGTAAGGAGAGTGTCTCTAAACATGCTCTTACCTCCCAATTCTAGAATACTCACTCCACAGATAGAGGAAAGCTCTTTATAAAATGCCTTAAAACCATCTTAGAAAGTGGGAACTCTTCTTTAACCAAGATTCTTTTAAGTCAAATTCTAGCTGGGAAGTAAAATCACCAATTGAAGTAAAAAGTACCCCCAAAATGAAATGGAAAGACTATCACAGAATCACAGAAATATATAATCTTGAATTTGGAAGAGAATTCAGAGGCTAACACAGACAGATACAAGATACCCCTCAAGTGGTCATTGGGCTTTCATTTGAAGATTACCAGGGACAAGCAGCTCACTACCTCCAGAAGCAGTTCATTGTATGGAATGCATGGAATACATTGTAACTGTAAGGAAGTTTTTCCTTACATCAAGCCTAAATTTGGCTCTAAAGGGTAGGGAAGGGATAAATCCCTATAATAGACAAAAGAATCATTGACCTCATACTCCAGAAGCATTATTCCCTAGAAATCTGATTCACCCTGTCACCCTAATGCCTGGCCCAGACCATCTCACTCAAACCTACCTTCACCTTCTCTTACCTTTTCAACCACTAAATCTTTCTTGGAGCGGATGTTTTCAATAGCCTGGATGGCGCCAATGAGGGCCAATCCAACAGTGAGCAGAAGGAATTTCATGATGACAGTTGTTGGATCTCACTTCTTTGAGGTCTGGAGAGAGTGATGATAGATGAGTCACCTCAGCAGAGCCTTATTTATAGAACAGGAGCTTGGGTTGCCCCATGTACCAGGGCAGTACCGCCCTACTCACCCACGAACCTTATTCCTTGAAGCCCAAATGGTCCAGCTGGCAAGGCTTAGATGGTATTGTCACCCAGGAAAACAAAAGTTCCTTCCAAAGAGAATGACACTCATTTTCCTTTAAGTCCCTAACAGGAAAGAGATTCCATGGTCAGAGCTGGCAGAATGGAATTCACAGTCTTACAGAATGAATCTCTGATCAATTCTTGGTAGATGTACTAGAGGGGGGTTGGAGATGGGTGCCAGGCTGGCAGAAAATTACAACTACATTTCTATGAGTTCTAGTATTGTGAAATACAGTATAAATGATGAGGGGGAGAGAGACAGAGACAGAGACAGAGAGAGAGAGACAGAGAGAGAGACAGAGAGAGAGACAGAGAGAGAGAGTTCTTAGAGAGATGCCCCAAACAAGAACAAGGAAGGCATACTCCAGCAGCCAACCAGTGTTCCTAAGAAACACGTTATTTCACCGCTGCCAAAATCTTTTGGCTTTCATCCTGAGAGATCTGACCCAGGTCTCTATATGCAATTGCATTGTGCAATAACGCAACATATAATTGAGGAGAAACACAAGGGACACACACCATCCTCTTCATTAAGTCACAGGCTTTCCCTCTTGGTAAACCTTTCTCAAAACACCTTCCCTAGTAAATCTCTTATGTCTACAACCAGTTTCAGCCATGCCATTATTTTGTTTCCCTACATTTATGTGTAGTTTCCCTTATTGTGATTTGAGTTTGTCCAATTTCTTTTTGCCAAGTAAGTTTGTTTTATTTTTCGTGACTTCTCCATATGTTTCTTGTCCCATTTCCCTGTTTAGTCTATAAATTTCTTGAGAGCAAGAACTATGTCTTTCATGATATTAACCTCCTTATTGCTCCTTGCACAAGTCAATACATCTCCAAATTCCAGATATTTTCAGTGACTGTCCCACATGCCTAGAATTTTCTCCCTCCTCATCTCCACCTCCTGACTTCCCTGGCTTCCTTCAAGATCCAACTAAAACTCTACCTTCTACAAAAAGACTTTTTTGCTCTCCCTTAATACCAGTCCCTAATACTAGTGCCTTCACTATGTTGACTATCTCCAATTTATCCTGTATATATCTTGTTTGTCTAAGATGTCTGCATGTTGTCCCCCCTCCTTAAAAGCAGGCACTGACTTTTGCCTTCTTTGAATCCCCAGAGTTTAGTACAGTGCTTGGCATATAATAAGTGCCTAATAAATGCCTGTTGACTGACTATCACACCACAACTCATTTTCCATAGGCAGGATCAGATGTCTCAGGAGGTAATCAAGACCTGGAAATTCATCTGCATGTTGTACCTTTTCCTAGGGGGAGAAGGAGTGGCTTGAGTCTGCAGAGTAGTAGAATGGCTTCCTGGGAACTGGCCTAGTTGATTCATGGAAGGATGAGGCAGCCTATTTCTTATATTGAGAAGGTGACAATAGAGCCCTTTACCCTCAGGTTTGTGCATTACTTATTACCATACTGACTTAAGGTATATGCTTCTCATTCATGTTTCACCCCTACTCATGCTACTTTGCTCTAGGATTGGGGAAACCCAACAAGTTCATGTTTGTTTGTCTTATTTCCTGACTTATATTTTATGCTTCCTTAGGAAAAAAAAAACATATAATATCATGTCACACCTCTTAATATAAACAGGGTAAGACTTTGAGATCTCCTTATCTCCCTACCCCACCCCTACCTTGCTCACTTCCTACTCCCTCCCAGCACAATTCCCTCTCATGTACTGAAGATCAGTCAGAGCACAAAAAGCTAAGATGAAGAGCCACTGGGTCATTTAGATTTTACAAATTTTTTTTCAGATGGCTAGAAACCAATTAGAATAAGGCCAAGGTTGGGGGCTCATTAACCATAAAGTAGTACCAAGAAAAACTCTCCCATGGCTTCAGAAAACCAATTCAAATGTGACCAGCCAATTTACAAAGGCCTGAGTGCAACCAGGCAAGAGAGTGTGAATAACCCCAGTTTCCATTCCCACAGCAGGAGGAGTAAGTGAACGCCCTTTCGGCAGGAGGTCAGTGCTCCATCTCAGCGTATAAAGGATGATTGTGTATTTTTTTTAAAGTCACTCATGTGGTTTATGGTGTCTCACTGGTGGCAATGTAATATAGCCCATAAACATCCACAGTTTAGCTGTTTGACCTTGGACTTCTTGAAGACGTTACCTGACTTCTCTGGAGCTCTCTGGACTGCTACTGCTGGATATGTTGAATATAACACTTCTCTTGATTTCTCAAGGTGTCATGGAAATAAGCAAAATCATAGGAGATCACCTCTGGAGTCTCCAAATCCTTTCTTCTGAGGAGTTTCCAGCCTAGCAATCATTATAATAATGAATTTTTTACTTTTTTTTCCTGCTTCCTTCCTGCTTTAGGGTTAGGTCCAGGACATGACTAAGGATTATAAAGCAGTTCATTCATTCCCTCAGATTTAATTTATGGGCCTCTTCTAGGGAAATTATGTTTTCTCTATCACTAGAAATTATAACACCTTTGTTCTGGCAACTGTGCTTATTACTTGGAATTTCAAGTTCCTTAAGTGAGGACAGAAGGAAAAGGTTGGATTTAGTTTAGCCTTTTTTCAATTGCAGAAAAAGCCACAAGTCTAAACATAATGCAAGAAAGGACCAGTTTAGGATTACACTCTTACTTTAAAACTAAGCAACTAAATTTTAAAAGTAAATATGATGCATGGAAGTATTATAATGTCAATGAGCACCTATGAAAATGCAATGTATAATAATATCTCTAAGACATGTATTTTCTCTGCAATAAACAGCCTTTAGGTGGCAGTGATGCATCTTATTATGTATTCTAGTATACAAAGTGTGGGATGTGGAGCCACAAAACCCAGCTTCAAATCTCAGCTTTGCCACTTAATGAGCTATGACTTCAGCCAAGTGATTGAACTTCTCTAAGCTAAGCCTCAGTCTCCTTTATCTTTTCAATAAATGGAATGATGTCTAAGGTACCTTTTGCTTTAAATCCATATCCTTAAGACCAGTAGTATCAAACTCAAATATAATCAGGCCACTAAACTGTACATAAGGATGTCACATGGCCACATCTTCACTTAGAAAATCACATATTAATATTATCTATGTTTCGTTGTATTTTTATTTTAGTAAATATTCTCCAATTACATTTCAGCATGGTTCCAGTGGTACTCAGGCATATCGTGGTCTGCATAGTCTGCCTGCTGGCCTCAAGTTTATTCACCTCTGCCCTAAAACAAAAGATTGGCCCAATTTTCACTTTTCAAACAGCTGTGCAAATATCAGAGAGGTGCGGTTTCCAATATTCTACAGGGATCACTATTGTCTCTGAAGCTTTCAAATTCCAAATTTCTAGGAATCCCATGGAAGTGTACCTAAGAAACCAAGTGAAAAGTAATAGAACTAAAGCTAGAAAACTCAGAAGAGGAAACAAAGCTTATTCTTCATTCATTTCTTTTGTCTTCTTTTGTTCAGATATATGGCATATTATAGAAAAGATTTATGTATAATTTTATTTTTTTCCTTGCACATTTATTTGATTCTCTGTTTTTGTTGGTGTTTTGATTTTTTTAAAATCAGATTCATGATTACATCAGTGTGAAGGACACCCTATATTGGAGCAGATCAATACCTGCTAATAACTTATATATAGTCTCAGAGAATTGTATCAGAAAATGAGAAGCCTGGACAAGTCATTGTCCAGGGTCACACAGCAATCAGTCAGAAGCAACACTCCTGACTCCAAGGCCAGCTCTCTATGCACTGCACCATGCTGCCTATAAAATAAGGGTACAGCAGCAAGATGGCCTAATTTGGAATTCAAGGACCAAGGTTTGAATTGCAGCTTTGCCACTGACTCTCTGTGAAACTTAGGTGAGGCATGGCCTCCTGTTTCTCAACCCTCTAGGGGATTAAACTGTATCACTGCGGAGGCCCTTCCAGCTCCAAACCAGCTGCCTTATGATCTCTGCCTTAAAGGAGGAATGGGAAAGAGCAGAGACACAAGAAATCATGTGATGATAAACATAGAATAAAATAATAATTTAAATGAAGGAAAAGAGTATCTCTGATTTAGTTTTCCCAGCTTTTTTGCTCACCAAAGGAGATTTCAACAAACAGACTGAGGCAACTGTGATTGCTGCATAGTTTATGTACCACCTGAAGAAAGTGTAAGGAAGGGGGTGAGAAGGGAGGAAGAAGCATATTCAGAGTCCAGACACAGAGAACTGCTTCTCAGTGGGAGAGAAGGCCTAGGATTTGAGGCTGAGGCTGAGGTCAAGTGAAGGAATCAGCTTCTCCTAGAAAATAGTAAATAGAATTTAGAGGTGGGTTGTTGGGATTGTATGAAAGAATAGGACTGGGGACTTTGCTTGAGCCAACTGAAGGACATTAGAGGTTCACACCATTTGGAGAAGACTTTTAGGAAGAAGTCAGTGATCAACCCTGGCTGAGCACTTGTAGGTATACTCCCTACAAGATGCAATCCATAGGCTATAGCACCTAGGCTTTCAGTTAGACATCCATACACTTAACTGAGGGGCTAGAAATCTGAGGGGAGCAGTGAGGTGTCAGGTAACAAGATATTCTGTTTGACATTGTTTGGGGATTCATGTACCTGAGGGTAAGAGCTAAGACCAGATGACCTCTTGAAGTGTTACTGACTTCAAGAATTCTATGATAACTGACATTTCTCCAGCCCTCTAAGGTTTACCAAGTGCTCTTCTCACAAGACCCCACTGAGCTAATTAGTATGAGTATAATTAATCTCATTTTTTAGTTAAAAAATTAAGTCTCAGGCAAAAAAAAATAAAACCCAAACCCTTTTGTCTGTGGTCATACTGCTGGTGAGCT